TCCCATACCATTAATCGTGCAATCCAGGTACAGCCACACACACCACACCATCATAGGAATCAATCAACGGATCACAACGAAGATATGAAACCATACTCAACAAGGAATGGATCACAATCCGACTCCAACGATGATTGACACAAGTCATCATCGACAATAGGAAAGAAAAAACCACACACGCTAGCATTTAGACACCAAACTAGCATGCTTATCAAACGGGTAAACCATACATAGTTCCGAAGAACACACAAGACTCTTCATGGTTCAACGAATCACAATGTTGAACACTTAGCACGATTCAAGACACCAACACCTACATGGAATCCTACCATATAGTTCTAGACATACGAAACATCAAGAAGACACTCAAATAGTTCAACAAAAGAACATCGGGAAGTCAAAAGACCAAATACCGAGTCAAAAGAATCACGAGGAACAAATCTCCGCCCAACTCTATATATGTACCCGCGGGTGGGGCCACGGGTGGACCCCCACCCGTGGTTCCGCCCGCGGGAACACAATCTCCCACCACAAATTATCCCTTCGGGGATTTTCAACACCAAGCTCAAATTCAAGTCTAAAACATGCCAAATCTTACCAAATACAACAAAATGACTTGAATCAAAGGAATTGCCAAGCAATGGCATACAAGAACACTAATAACAAGCTCTAGATATGCATTTTCACAAGACAATGCATCAACACTCACATTTCATAGCAAAATCACATGTAGAATCCAATAAATCATCATATAGGTAAGCAAAATAGATTTTGTAGAGCATGGGTTACCTCATTCGCTTAACATCCAAAAACAACGCCAACATAGGCTAGGCTCAATTCATAAGCCAAACGGGAATCTGTGAATCAAACCGATCCTTCACTTATTAAAACAAGCGTTATTAAAACATTACTAATCACTAAAGATATTTGAACCCTAGTTCTTTCCTTAATTTACCTACAAGCACAACCATCTAAACTAGGCATCCTATTGGTAACTTAATCACAACATTATAGAACTAATAAATAACTAGTAACCAAGCTTAAGGGATAGGACTAATAATTAAAACTAATAAACAAAGATTAACTAATTAAGCTAAGGTGAGGGTCAAACACTAGCCATCCACATCCTTAAAAACCCTTCCTTACCACCACACTAAACCAACCACTTGGTAAACTAAACAACATAAAAACTAATAACCTTAACTAAGCAACAACAACAACAAAAAGACGTGGCTCACCATCTTCTTCTCTTCTTCATGCAGACGTCGGAAACCGCGGGTGGAACACGGGTGCTACCACCACCCTACTTCTGCCCGTGGGGTACTCCTCGAACAACACACCACCGGAGACGCCGCTAATCAACCTACTGTCGTCGGACTGCCATGCCGGAGGAAGGAGGTCACCCGTCACCCACGCCGGACTGCTCAACTTCGTTGGAGGCTTTGGATGTCGCCGATTCTGCCCAACGCCGAGAAGGACTGAGCTACCAACGTCTACTATACTCGTCTGCTACTACGCCTCTGTCACACTTCCCGCCGCAGGAAAACGTCGCCGCTGCTTGATTGCTGCACTGCCATCAATGAGAGGGAGAGAGGGGTGGTGCTGCTGCTCTTCTTTTGAGCTTGAGGGAGAGACAAGCCGGAAGATGGAGAAGAGATACAGGGAGGGAGGTTCGCTTGGTCAAAAAGGATGGTGAAGGAGGTGGTTGTTGGTTTGGGGAGTTCATGGCGTTACTGCCATTGTAGCTAGGCCGAGAGTGGTATGCGGCTAGCCTCGAGTAATCAAGATGATACAATACATACATATACATATTAGATGGTAGGGTTACTATACTTAGAGGGTGAGCTAGGCTAGACTTGGGTCAAAAGCTTGGGTTGGGTATTTCTAAATGTGGATTTTAGGCCAAACATCTTGGACTCACAAAATAGTTATCACACATATATTTGTACAACTTATGGGCTTGACTAGTTTAGGTTCAAAGCTTACATGGCATATACTCCGTAATAAATAAATACATTTTGGGCTTAGGGTGACAAGTAAACTTTTAGGCTAAAAATCATTTTTGGGTTTAAAGCATTTGGGCCGTAAAATATTATTTTATACAATAAATAAACACGAGCCCATTTTACAAGGTAATTAGGCGTATATAAATATTTTTAATAAAAATATTTAGTAACGGGACTATAATTTATTTTAGGAAAATACGGGGTGTCACAGAGGGGGTCCGGTGGTTGCCCTCGTTGAGGTCGAGGTCGTATTCTTCTGTCCGGGGGGGAGGTAAGGCTACCTCAGAGGGGGTTCGGGCTTCAAAGTCGTAGGACGAGGAGAATGGGGTCTCCCTGGTGACCCTCCTTGGGGTATAGGTAGCGTAGTAGCGTGCCGTTGTAGGGTCTTCTGTGGAGTCTATCATCGAGGAGTAGGTAGGTAGGGAGCTCGAGCTTACACGGGGAGGACCGGGTTGGCCTCCGAAGTAGACTTCTTGAGGTCCTCCACCCGAGCTATCTTGTAGATGTGTTCGGGGCCGAGGTTGAGGGGCCAAGCCAAGTAGGTCCACCTCGTCTTGGGGAGGACGCCTGTCTTCTTATACTCCTTAAGGTGGTCTAGCCAGTAGGGAGCTCAAGCTTGCACAGGGTGGACCAGGTAGGCCTCTAAATTGGACTTCTTGAGGTCCTCCACCCGGGCAATCTTGGAGATTTATTCGGGACCAAGGTTGAGGGGTTGGGCCGAGAAGGTTCTTTAGTAGTGAGCTGGGGCGTTCCCCCAATACTACCGTTAAGGAATGTTAACAGCTCCTCATGAGCTCCTTCCTCTCCGCGGAGAGGTACCTCTCGCGTTGTTGCACCGGCTTGATCGCGGGGTCGACGGCGAGCCTGTGGGTGATGACGTCCCTATTGAGGACCTGCATGGGGGATCGGGGCGAGTTGGCCTGCCCCTCGACCTGGTTGCCGGGCGCGCGAGGTGGTCATTTGCTTGGGCGCTGCGCCCTCTCGAGGGAGGCGGAGGCGGGGTCAGCACCCTTCGGGTGGCCTCCGGGCCGACCTCCGTATCTCCTTGGAGCCCCTCCGCGAGGCGCGCCAGTGTCACTGAGGCCTACTGAAGGGCGGATGCCCCCTCCTGGAAAAGAGCGAGAATTGGAGGAGGACAAGGGTGCCAGCACACCATTGCGGTGGTTGGTGGGGTGATCTCTGAGGTCACCCGCTGACCTCAAAGAAACCGTTCGTTGCTGACAAGTGGTCCCGTTGAGGCCACCCCCGGTAGGGGAGGCACGGGTGTTACGGGAACCGCGAGAGTTGGAACTCGATCTTGCCATAACTGGTGGAATATGGAGCACGCTCGAGCTTGTACGTCAACTCTCAACAAGAGCACCAATGATGGATTTAAATACCCGGGGTAGACCCGAATCACTAAATCCAATAAATACAAAGAATGTATATGTCGCGGGGACAACTTTCGTATTGATAGTCTTTTATAGGAAAATTACAAGGAGAGTGTGGTAACAAGACAAGATGTAGATGTTAACAAGACAAGGAGATGCCCCAACCGACCCCAAGAGAATAGGGTGGGCGGTTGGATCTTAGTTGACTGAGTCACGCGGGAACGCCCCGCATGACCGCCTAACCTCAGCTGGCCGAGGTCGACCCCGGCCAAGGCCGACGCCGAGGTTGACTCCGACCTTGGCCGGCGCTGTGGTCATCCCCAACTGGGGTCCACGTAGTAGACCTCAGCTGAGGTCTACGCCGGGAACTCAGTTAGGGTCTCCCAGGCCCTTCGCCTCACGCCGCGACCATCGGGTCAGTTTGCCCCGAGTCCCTTCTCCTAATATATCCATCAGTATATATATATATATATATATATATATATATATATATATATATATAATCATGTCTGTATGTGTATAAGTCTTGCAATTTAGTTACTTTCGCCAATTAAGTTCTCCCACTTTTGGACTATGTTATTTTTTATTTTTTTTTTTGATTCATTTGTTATTTAATTTGCATATATGTTAAGGTTATTGGATTATGGAAGCGAGGAGAGATATAATCAGTAAATTTCCGATAGAAATACTCGACCACATTTTGGGATTTTTGCCGATAAACGATGCTGCTAAAACCGTTTTTTTGTCATCTATTTAGAAAGATGTTTGGTCCAATCTCACACAACTTAACTTTGATCATCACTTCTTTTCTTATATGGGTAAGAAACACATTAAAGATAGCGGCATATATGTCAAGAAATGTTCCACGGGTGTCTTTGTATGTGATCAACAAAGTTCTCCGCCAACACAATGGAACTATTCAAAAATTTGTTCTCGAGTTTGTTGATGTTGAGATACTTACAATTAAGTCTCGGTCTTTTGACTTCGACCAATGATTACTTTTAGTTATGGGGAAAGGTGTTGAGGAAATGCACATTCGTCTTCAGCATTACAGGCTGCCTAATTGCATATTTTATTTTTCAACGCTCAAGAGGTTACATCTTTCTATGTCATTGTTGAGCCAATGAAATCCCCATACATACTACCAAATGTTACTTTGCTTAGTTTCTAGTATGTTAACTTTGATTCTATAGAGCCTCCACATTGTGCCTTTGATGTTCCTGTACTCAAGAGTCTGCTATTTTATAACTGTAAAAACATGTTTAATTTTAACATTACTGCTCCAAAGCTGTGTGATTTAACAATCACATCTTGCTTCTCTGATTGTTTGGACAAATTTCTTCCGGTTAATTTGGACTTGAGATCTATTTTTACTCTGAGTTTGGGACATTCAAATATCCAGGTATTTAGCCATATTTTTTTCCCTTTTATCAAACTATTATTTATATGTGGTGTATTATTTTTTTAGGGAACTAATCCTACTTTCTTTCTATTTGATTTCCAAGAAATATGTTGAAGAAATTAGTAGGATGGGATTTCAACTAAATGTGGAAAACCTTAAGCTATCATTTGATTGCCAAAGTGATACAATAATTCCTGTACTTCATTTGCTGCAATCATGCCCCATGTTATGCAGACTTGACATGGATGTATTTGCGGTAATCTTTATTTTCATGGACAAATTGTCCATTCGTTTACTGATATTTTAGTTGTTTATGTATTGTTATGCATTCCTAAATTCAATTGTGTTGTGTAATTGCTGATATGATTGAGTTTTTTTTTTCCCTTTGTATGATGGTTTTCTATAGATTGAGAAGATGGCAACTAAATATAATGGCGCCTTTTTGGAACTCTTGTCAAAACTTCAAAGCGTGGCGCAAACAAATAAAATGCTTCGTGCTTTGAAACTTATCTCATTTAGCGGGTCTCAATCTGAAATTCTTTTCATTAAGGAGGTACTTGCCTGTTTTTCAGCACTTGAAAAGGATTTCATTATTTTTGACGAACCTAACTATAAAAAGAAGTTCAAGTTTGGAATTAGGCAACAACTTTTGCGTTTTCCTCGTGCCTCCACAAAAGCAGAAATTGTTGTTATGTTTCTGTTGAACTATGCTTTTTGGTTTGAGTGATGTGCCAAATGACAATTTGAGAATATAAAAATTTCTACTTAGTTTCTTTTGCAATATAACAATTTCTACATGTGACCATGTCTAGTTTAGTGTTCTTGATAATTATTGTTAAGATAATTATAATTATAATTATAATTATCAATAGACCTCCCAATCTCATTTATCAGTTTAGTGTTCTTGATAATTATTGTTAAGATAATTATAATTATAATTATCAATAGACCTCCCGATCTCATTTATCAGTAGACCTCCCGATAGAGTGGGTTTGGACGAGGAGAGTAGGATGGTACAAGGTGGTTCGGGAGAAGGGTCGATGCAGCCGACTGTGGGGAGTGGCATGTCACTCCATCTATCTTTTTATTATAATCTATACGACTCAAAACTACAAGTCCAAGTGAGTGGTTTATGGTTATCACTAGGAGGCTACAGGACAAATTCAAGTATAAGTTCATCTGTATTCTTGTTCACAGTTTACATCAAACATAGGCGCAAGAAAATAAGTTGATGGGCAAGGAAAGAGATAAAGCCATACGAATTTTTTAACATTTTATGCAACAAAAGACGACGCAAGACAACAGAAAAAAATAAAATAAAATAATCCTCCTGCAAGTTTCGAAATATTTTTCATCTGAAGAAAGTATTCAAAAAGCTCTTCGCTATATCTACATATAAAGCATGTAAACTATGGCTCTATTTTTATACAATATACTTCTGTAATCATAGGATTCTGTCCTGAAGATCTGACATCAAACTGGATGCCAAGGAGCCAAGTTTCTTTCCCGTTTCTCCGGCGATATTCCTGATGTTGGAGATATCCTGTTGAGCCTGACACGAAAAATACAAGTGTAAAACAAAAATGTAAGACCTTAATGTCGATCCAAGTGCTTAAGGGATAGAATAGATTACGAGCATACATATTAGCAATGAACTTGAAAACAATGGAGAAGGTTGAAACTTGAATCTATACCTGGAAAGAGAGCCGATTAATGAGGTCGCTAGCACTCACATCTGTGGATGATCGGCTTGTGTCATGACCAAAGAGATCCGCACTAGAGATTGCACTTGAACCCTAAAACAGAAAAGCATAAATGTTGAAGTATAAACTGTTGAAACACAAAAGTTGTAACATGCATACTCTTCCTTTAAAAATTTTTGGGTGCACCTGTTTTGTCCGGGACACTACCCCAGGGCGTGATAAATTTTCTCCAAAATCCTTAAAATGCATGTTTGTTGGGTACTCTAGGTTGCAAAAGGGTTTCAGATGTTATTCTCCTGATAAGCATCGATTTTATGTATCTTCTGATGTTACTTTCTTTGAATCTACACCTTTCTTTTCGTCTAGTTTACCGACCTCCATCTCTCATTTTCCTGATGTTCTTCCTGTTCCTACTTTTCAAGGAGGGACCGAGGTACATTTACCTCAAGATCCGTCATCACCTAGAAATCCTAGTCCCTCACCTACTGAACCTCCTTTACAAAACAACGGTGTTACCCCCTTTCCTTACACTTATCATCGCCGCTCTCGACCACCCGCGACAGTTCAAATCGATGAAATCCCAACTGATTCATCTCTCGAGCTATCTATGCCCTCGAACCCGGTTCCGGCAACAAGCTCTCCTATTGCAAGTCGTGTAGGTAACAGGTCATCACGAAATCCCTTTCCCATATACAACTTTATTTCATATGATAATCTCTCACCTTCATATAATGCTTTTATCACATGTTTATCTTCTGTTTCTGCCCCTAAATCTGTTAAAGAAGCCCTTTCCCACCCTGGTTGGCGTCAGGCTATGATTGATGAAATGGCTGCTCTTCATTCATCGGGAACTTGGGAGTTAGTTTCATTACCCGAAGGTAAAACAACTGTTGGTTGCCGATGGATCTATACTGTGAAAGTTGGGCCCAATGGACAAGTTGATAGACTTAAAGCTCGACTGGTAGCTAAAGGATATACACAGGTTTTTGGGATTGATTACACTGACACCTTTTCACCAGTAGCTAAAATTGCTTCGGTCAGAATCTTTCTTTCTATGGCTGCCGTTCATCATTGGCCCTTGCATCAGTTAGATATTAAAAATGCCTTTCTGCATGGAGATTTAGAGGAAGAAGTCTACATGGAGCAACCTCCTGGGTTTGTTGCTCAGGGGGAGAGTAACTTGGTTTGTAAGCTCAAACGTTCTCTCTATGGTCTAAAACAATCTCCTCGTGCCTGGTTTGGACGGTTCAGCATAGTAGTGCAAAATTTTGGTTTAAATCGAAGCAAAGTTGACTATTCCGTCTTTTATAGACATCAACATGGTAAGAGCATTTATCTTGTTGTATATGTTGATGATATTGTCATTACAGGAGATGATGTTGAAGGAATACAATTGTTGAAACAACATCTATTCCAACATTTTGAAACAAAAGATCTGGGGAAGTTAAAATACTTTTTGGGAATTGAAGTAGCACAATCCAAGCAAGGAATTTGCATATCACAAAGAAAGTATGCATTGGATATACTAGAAGACACAGGTATGATGAATTGCAAACCTCTTGACACTCCTATGGATCCAAATATCAAACTCCTACCAGACCAGGGGGAGCTTATCCAAGACCCGGGAAAATATAGACGATTGGTTGGAAGATTACTTTATTTAACTGTAACTCGACCTGATATCTCTTTTGCGGTAAGTGTTGTTAGTCAGTTCTTGGCATCTCCACGTGAAAGTCATTGGGAAGCTGCCATTCGGATTTTACGATATATTAAAAAATCTCCAGGCACTGGTTTGTTATACAAAGACCATGGAAACCTTGAAATTATTGGGTACACAGATGCAGATTGGGCAGGTGCATGGGATAGAAAATCAACATCTGGATATTGTATCTTTCTTGGTGGCAACTTAATCTCTTGGAAAAGTAAAAAGCAAAATGTTGTTGCTCGATCAAGTGCAGAAGCCGAATATCGATCTATGGCCGTTGGAACATGTGAACTTGTGTGGTTGAAAAACCTCCTTACCGAACTGCAGATTTGTACAAAGGAGTCCATGAAGCTCATTTGTGATAACCAAGCAGCTTTGCATATTGCATCAAATCCAGTTTTTCATGAAAGGACGAAACACATTGAAATTGATTGCCATTTTGTTCGAGACAAAGTTACTTCTAGAGATATTACTACATCTTTTATAGGCTCAAATAATCAATTAGCTGATATATTTACTAAAGCTTTAAGAAGTCATAGGATTGAATACATTTGTAACAAGCTTGGTGCATATGATATACATGCTCCAGCTTGAGGGGGAGTGTTGAAACACAAAAGTTGTGTCTGTAGAAATATAGCTGTTGAAGTTGTGTAGGGTTGTGTCTATTAGGATTGTGTCTCTTAGTCTGTATATATATTTATCTATTGTCTCCTCATTGAGACAAGCAAGTAATAAAAACTTCTTCTACATCTTCTTTCTCAACATAAACATTCAATCAATCAATCTATCTATTCCTTGATGAGTAAACAGTAGGGGTCCTCAACTTCTTTTGGTATATAAGAATCACAGGAAGGAGATGGTTCCTCTAAACCCACCCAGTAAGGTGCCAATGGCATGCTAGGATTGTTAGCAAAGGCCAATTAAGGAACCAAAAATATTCTACTCTTGATATTACTATGGAACTCGAAGATCTCCCACCATTACAATAAATTGAACATATGATTTGTGGCAGTATTACAACGGAAACAAATGATTAAAAAACAAAACAAAACAAAAACAAAAACAAAAACAAAAAACTTTTCGTTATCAACTATCTACACTTCCTTATCTATCAACACCCTCTTGGCAACTTTGTCCTTTATTTTGACTGTTATATGAGGTATTAAATTTTAGACTTAAGTTGATCACATAATATTTGGGGTGCTATTTGGGTTATTGATTCCATCTGTGTTGTAAGTGCAATCATTTGCATATTTTTCTATAGAACTAATAAGATGTGCCTGTACTACAATAATTATTTAGGGTGTGTTTGGTTGGCAGGTTTAGCACTCAGGTATGGGTATGAAAGTGATTGTTATTGTTTGGTTGACTGGTTTTTAAAACACTACTATGGGTTTGAAATACCCCATTAATGGAGAAACCCATTCCCTTATTTTATAAGGGTTTCATCCCATTATTCATCCTTAGCCTAATCATTCCCATTCCACCCTACTACCAAATATGCAAAATACTTTCACTAAAACCCATTACCATTACCATTACCAAGTATTTGATACCCATTCCGATTCCAATTCCGATTCCCATGCGCGAACCAAACACATCCTTAATGTAATTGAAGTCAGGTGTATAGCATGTATATGTATTAAAAGTTGAATAAGAAATTATATAATAGATTTTTCATGGGAAAGAATGGTTATAAAATGTCAGGGAATACAATAACAAGGCATACCGAAAACTTTTGCAGGGTAACTGAAGATTCCACATCACCGATTTTGTTTTGGTCACCAAAAAATTGGGCTGACGAAATGGATTTTGCATTTGAAAACTTCTTCCTCGCTTCATCAGTTTCCTCAACCTGAAGATCACAAAGTGGGTGAATGAAGTCAATAACCCTGTATTTGATACTACAACTTCTTGAACAATATGATACATGAGGATAGAAAAGGAGAAAACTACAATCACAGATTACTTGTACACTGGATGAACTTGAACTTTTCTTTGGGAAGCCACTGTCCATCCCATATTCAGCAAAAAAATTGGTTGACTTTGGAGGGGCCACATGGTTCAAAACACGAGTACCATCAGAGTTCTTCTCATCAGGCTGGACATTTTCTGTGTATTCAAATCTCGAAGTAAATGATGAACCCGCTATTGGGGTATCACTTGCAGAGATGGGGGAGACTTGAACAGGCGTTTCTTCAGGTTTCTGGTCATAAAGACTCTCACTTGGCTGCAAATCAAATATTTACTTGCTAACGTTAACAAGAAATAAATTTTATCTTTGAATAGTATAGACAACTGAGGAATTAAATTCAGAAAATATCCATTTGCAGCCAGTTCTCCATTTCAATGCATAACATAAATTCTACACAAGATCATACTTGTAAAGTTACAATATACCTTGGTCATGAGCTTTCGAGCACCAAGGCCACCTGGCTTACCAGTTTTTTTCACAACTGCAGGCCTCTTAAAAGATGTGTGCACAACAGGACGAGAAGGTTTAGGTGAAGCAGAAACTTCACCAGTCTCATCTTTAACTGAAGAACTTTCTTTTGGTGTTTCACTACTCTTAGAATCAGAACATTCATTAGTAGATGGTACATCCTTAGAGGCAACTGGTGACGATGGCAAACCTGCATCTTCTGCCATGCTTTTAGCAACTTCTTTGGAGAGTAACTGCCTGTACAAGTCAGCAGCTCTAGAGGTATACTTGGCCTCAATCTTGCCTCCATCCGTCCATCCATGCTGCTTGAAAAAAACTTGAGCACGGTTGTTTCCACCAAAGTACATCATCTTTAATTGTTCTGGAGTCCATGAATCTAAATCCGTTGACCTAAACAGAACACTCTCATCAACCACTTGATTGGATTTTTATAAGAGAAAAATATTTGAAGAATAGAAAATGTGCATAGGCCAAAGTGTAGTACTTTCGACTGTCCAAAAATTAACAAAATTCTCAAACCCTTGATGCTTTTAAAGAAACCCCAGATATTTAATCACAAGGAATCATATCAATCTGGCTGCTGTTAACAACAGATAGTGACTCTCCCATCATACAAGGGGTCTGGTGGAGGAAGAGGTAGGCATTCTTATATTTACTCTCAAAAGTTTTCCCAGGTTGGGGGCAGATCATTAAATGCTCGGCCACTAGGGTGACATGGGCATCTAAACATCCATTACCTACCGTTGCTCATATTAACTGAAAATTGAATAGGGTACTGCTTAGAAAGAAAAGGGCTTCAGCTCTATACAGCATAACTGCCTCATATGACCAGTGCCTACCATTCATGAAATAACCAATACATTTTAAAATTTACGATTACTCTTTTTTATGTATAATTTTCAATCTCAAAAGCATCCAACTTTCTATGACCACAAATGTTCTCTTTCGTTAATCTTAAACAAAGAAAATACTGTGTTTGTCCAACAGCACAAATTATCCAAGTATGGAGTATCTATTATGGCAGTGATATATTATACATCCTGGGCAAGAATTAAGTATAGCTAATGATTCAAGATTATTGCCTGCACGAGAAATAAGGGTTTCTACTGATTCGACCAAGCATCATAATCATTTGTGGCAGGGTAATCCTAACATAGTATGTAACTGTAATGTGAAAATTTAGCACTATGCCCATTTTCATGTGAAACATATCATCCATGATACAGCATTTAAATGGCTTCTGATTCTGATGGAAGACATCTGGTTTGTAACTGACTAAATAATGACATCAATTGTGTTGCCAGACACAAAATCAGCATTGCCGAAGGATAATCAAAAGTTTATAAAGCATTATATATTTATATCACGACCACACCAACCTCATTACCTACAAGACATAAAGGTTCTGAATGCAAATTAATAATAAAAGTTACTCATACCAAGTCAGTAATTTTATCCACAAACAGTGAAAACGAGTCTCTATAAAAAATAAAAGGAACCATACACTGCACAAATCCTCAAAATCTGATTCTCACCAAATACTATCTTCATTCGTATAACAATATACTCAACAGTTCATGCACATTTGATAGCTAACGGACTCCTAACTAATCCTAGCCAAGGTGATATTCACATCACCTTGGCTAGGATTCTACTAAGTTACTCCTATAGTCCTACGCTCCTTATTATCACTGGCAGCATGCCCGTGATCCCTCAAAGCATAATAACTCCGTGACATCCCCAGCCAAGGAACTGGAAATAAGTCAATAGGCTTCTTCTTAGCAAACCAGTGACTAGTAGTAGTAGTAGTAGATTAACAAAACAATGAGTTATAACTCTCATCATACATAGAATTCTAATATTTAGTGCTACCTAATCCACATCATTTGCATCTTTTTTTCTATAAATATCTTTTACAGCTAAAGAAGCAACAGCTGGGACACAGAGCCCAAGCTCTGTAGTTAAGTGTACTTAACCTTCCAATATCTTTAAATTACGAGTCCCCCGTAATTTATTTGGTAGAAAACAAACAAACAAAAGCAAAAACGGAAGCACAAAACCAGCTGAAAAGCTGCACAAAAAAGAAAAAAAAAAAAAAAAAAAAAAAATCCTCAAAAGGCGAAAATTAGCGAAAATTGACACAGAAGTAATTGGATTAAAAAATTAACCTGACAAAGCTGACGTGAACACCGAGGTTCCGATGCACGGACGAACAGTCGATGCACAGGAAGATGCCATACGTCACCGACGCCCATGTCGAATTCTTCGCATTGCAATCAAAACACATCTGCAAGACAGAAATGAAGCAAAGCCTTTGAAAAGAGAATTACACAACAAAAACTTCAGATCTAAACTCATCCCGAGGTTTCGCACTGAAAATTCACAAAAACGGATTGAAATTAAGTAAAATTAACTCATCTCAACGAACCTTGTTTTCGGATTTTGCACGCAGCTTCCGAAATACAGCGTTTTTGTCGTTGAAATTATCGGAAGCCATGCCGCCACCTTCAGAGATGTAAAATCTTAGAGTGACAGAAATGGCAGAGCTATGCGACTAGAAGAAGAGAGAGAGAAAGAGGTCTGAGATATGCTAGTGTAGAGTAAAACTGTAACCGAAAATAAATATAAATAAATTAAAAATAAAAACATGATTTGTGTGAAGCTCTTTTGGAAATATTCAAAGTAATTACCGAAAACACCCTTTTCGTTATATTGTTGGCTACTCTGTTGTCTTTGGAAACAAATCAACAACTTTACGTGAAATAAACATGATTTGTGTAAAGGTTTTATTTTATTTTATTTTTTGTCAATCACGAGATATTTTGAGTAGGTCCTAATTGTAGGAGGCATTTTTAACCTCGTACTATACTCACTAATCCTTACTCGCACTAGACCAGCCCAATTAAGGGACAAATAAATGAAAGTATTCAAACTCCTGACCTCTCTTAAGGAACAAGAGAGCACAGCCACTCAGTGACGTACTCATGTCAACCAAGCTGGTTAAAAGGTTTTTATATTATACAGGAACCAAGCTGGTTAAAAGGTTTTTATATTATACAGGTGGATTTAGAGTCCTGAGAGGAGAGTGATTTCCAAACTGCTGCATATTAGGGGGCCGTTTACTAACATGAACTTTTCTCCAGTTTTCTGGAAAATTGAAGAATTGGAGAATAAAAAACAGCAAACATGTTTACTAGCACAGTTTTCCATTTTGAAAACTGAAAATAAATTTTAAGTTTTCTAGAAAACTGAAACACTCTTAATAACTGTTTTCTAAATAAAAAACAGAATCATATATTATCTATTTGGTTATATATCAATATAACCACATTACTATGATTACATTTGATACGGTTAATTCTCGTGTATGTAGGGTGTATATTGTATGTATGAACAATAAGGTAGGCAAGAGAAAGTAGCTCAAATGGATCTCTTATTCATTGATTCTTGATGTTACGTTCTTGTGTGTTGTATAGTACATATTATAGATATGTTATGGTATTTTTCTCTCTCGACCGTTGGTTTCTTTTGGTAAGTCTGAGAGCGATCCTGCTTTCCCGCTCTTTCCTTTCCCATGCATGCTCCGGCGGATCTACCGCTGCTGGCGTCCGGCGGCCCACCTGATGGAGACCCGGCAAGGACCTTCAAGAGGTTCAGGGGGTCTAAGAGATCGTTCGCGGACGCGGATCCGGCTGTCCTTGGATCCGGCAACGACACGATGGTTGAAGCTGATAATGAAGAGTGGCTCAGCGATGAGATTTTAGCGGCGTTGGAGAAGGAAGTGGTGCCTCCGGAGAATCCACTGGGACTCCCGGTGGTCACGTTCTCGAAGGAGATCCGGAAAGAAATTGTCCAACCTTGGAGGAACGCCCTGACTCTGAAATTTCTTGGTAAGCGGATCGCGTTTAACCTTATGCTAAACCGCTCTCTAAGATGTGGAATCCGGGGGGGGGGGGGGGGGGGGGGGGGAATTTCAGTTGATTGATCTGGGTTACAACTGGTATGTTGCCCGTTTCGATCGGGCGAGAGACTGCATGAACGCCCTTGTTGGCGGTCCTTATAAGGTGTTCAACCACTATGTCGTGCCTCAACGTTGGACCCCAAGGTTCAATCCTTACAAAGCCACCATGGAGAAGATGGCAGTCTGGGTTAGGTTGCCGGAACTACCGGTGGAGCTCTTTCGCGACGACACTATCAGACAAATTCTGCTGCAGGTGGGAACTCCGGTGAAACTGGACAGAACCACCACTAGAGTCGATCGGGGACAGTTTGCACGTGCTGCGGTGGAATTAGATCTCAAGAAACCACTCACGTCTTTGATTATTGTGGAGGATTGGATTCAGCAGGTGGAATTTGAGGGGCTTCATACCATTTGCTTTTATTGTGGAGAAGTAGGACATAGATCCAATGTTTGTCCAAAGAACAATCTGGTGGTTGTTGATCAGCTGGAACAACAGGCCGTCTCTCCTATGGAACAGACAGAGACCACTGTCAACACCTCTCCAGAACCTGCAACGGAGATGCGGAGGTATGGCCAGTGGATGATCGTCCAAAATAAGCACGCGAAATAGGGAAAACAAAACAAGAAGTCCCCTCCCAAGGTGACGCAAAAAGAAAAAGGGAAGGCACCATCACAACTTCCTAGCACGTCGCAAAAGGACAAGGGGAAGGCTCCGGCTCAGTCACCCAACATGTTCTCAGCGCTCTAAGAGGATTCGGTACAGCCCTGTAATGGTGACATATCTCCACCGTCAGAAAGGGAAGCTCATGGTGGACTTACGAACTCCGCCGCCGACGCAGGTAAATCTTTCTGCCACCTTTGATTTAAATAACACTAACCTTAACTTTGGCATTCAGAGAGAATCCCACGTGGAAGACAATTTTGGAATGACAGAGAAGGCTAGTAGCTTAGGGACCAAAAAGGCCAATGGCAGGAAAGGCAGAAAGAGAGCAGATAAGGTTAACGTGCAAAATGGCGTTAGTAACACTGGCCCGGTGGATAAGTCTTTGGTTAGCTCTGGCACGTTTGCATTTGGGCACCCCTCAGCCAACATTGTCCAACCTATGGACCTGAATAATGCACCGGAGGAAAGCGGTAATACTATTTCCCCCGCCCCCGTTGTTTCCCAATGATTGTTATTGCTTGGAACTGTAGGGGCGTCAAGAGTGGGGGCACCAGGCGTCACGCCAGGGAGCTCCTCAAAAGATCTGAGGTTGGCGCTCTTTGTTTTCTGGAAACAAAGACTAAAGCGGCTGGTGGTTTACTTAAAATGGCTGACAATCTGGGTTTCTGTTCTTCCTTTATGGTTGATCCTCTTGGTTTTGCGGGTGGACTCCTTCTGGTTTGGAATAAAGATCGTGTCCTGTTAACAGTGGTGGGACACAACTCTCAATCTATCCATACTTTGATCCCTCGCCATGACGGTAAGAACATTTGTATTTCCTTTGCTTATGTTAGGCCCACTCGTAGGGCGAAAGAAATTTTTTGGCAGGGCTGTAAGGAGTATTCCAATTCCTTCCAAGACCCTTGGGTGATGCTTGGGAACTTTAACGACATATCGGGGCAAGCTGACCAATGGGGGGTCGGTGAGATCGTTGCCAATTCGGTTGATAGGTTCTTAGAAGCTGTGAATGACTGTGGGCTCATGGAAAGTGGGGGAAAGGATCACGCTTAGAAGGAAGCCGGATCGGGTTCTTTTGAATATGGAGGCTCAGCTCTTCTTCCCTGAGGAAAAAGCCCACATCCTGCCTTGCATGCACTCCGACCACCATCCTATTCAGTTTAATAACGTGGCGGGCTCTCCACCTCCGAGAAAGGAGAGGCCTTTCAGGTTTGAAGCGGCTTGGCTCTTGAGAGACGACTACCGGGGCATCTGGCATCTAGCTTGGAATTCCTTCCCCGATAACATTTCAGGAGCCATTGATCAGGTGGCTAAGCTGTCTAAAGATTGGTATCACAAAACCTTCGGGAATATTTCTCATAGGAAAAAAAACACTCTTGCAAGAATCACGGGGATCCAGGCCTCGCCTAACTACGGCTCCGACATGGGCTTGGTAAAGCTCGAAAAGACCCTTATTGACGATCTCAACGATATCCTGAAACAAGAGGAGGTTTTCTGGTATCAAAAATCTCGCAAGGACTGGATTCAGGACGGTGACAGAAATACTACTTTCTATCATCGAGCAACCTTGGTTATAATGAATCGTGCTAGGGTCACTATGTTTAAAGTCAACGGTGAGTGGATTTCCAATCCTCAAACCATTAAAGAACACATCACTAATTTTTTTTCAAATGTCTTTTTGGCAGGAATCACGACGTTATTAGAGAGGCCCCTACTCTCGTGAGCGGTCGTGCCATTAGTGATAGACAGGCCCAAAGCCTGATCTGACTTACTACGGTGAATAAGGTCTGCCATGTTGTCTTCGGCATGAAACGCTTTGGGAGTCCGGGTCCAGATGGGATCCAAGCAACTTTCTATCGGCATTATTGGGATACCGTGGGTGGCTCGGTAAAAAATTTTGTTAACTCTTGTCTCACTTCAGGTACCATCCCAATCGGTATGTTGGAAGCTTACATGACGCTGATTCCCAAAAAAGAGAGTCCTGAAAATGTGGGGGACTTCAGGTCAATCACTCTTTTAAACGTGATTTTCAAAATCGTCTCCAAAGTCCTAGTCAATCGCCTAAGACCGATCATGAAGAAAATGGTGGGCCCGTTCCAAAATAGCTTTCTACCAGGAAGGTCTACGCTGGACAATGTGGTCTTGACTCAAGAGGTGATACATAATATGGCTAAATCTAAGGGCAAGAAGGGCTTCATGGTCCTCAAGCTGGATATCCATAAGGCCTACGATAGTCTTGACTAGGGGTTTCTAGAGGCGGTTCTCAGTAAGTTTAACTTCCCTATTGGTTTGATTTCTCTAATCATGTTTTCTCTCAAAGAAAGCACCATTTCTATCAACTGGAACGGGGGCAAGCTTCCCGCCTTTGGGGTGGGTAGAGGAGTGAGGCAGGGCGACCCCATGGCCCCTTATCTGTTTATTCTAGCCATGGAGACCCTATCTTGGGCAATTCAAGAGGAAGTCAATTCTGGCCGTTGGAAACCCTACAAGGTGGCTCGTGGGGGCTCGGACATCTCGCATCTGTTCTTTGCAGATGACCTTATTCTCTTTGGTGAAGCTTCGGAACAACAACTCAGATTCATTCTATCGGTGGTTGACAAGTTTTCACGCCAATCAGGTTTGTCCATCAATCTTAATAAATCTATTATTTTTTGTTCTCCTAACACCAGTGACAGGGTCAAACGGCGACTTGGAGAGGTGGCGGGGATCCCGTGTCAGACAACATGGGCAAGTACTTGGGTATCCCCATCTTACAGAAGAAAGTTTCTAAAGACAATTTCGCGTATATTCTGGAAAAAATGAAGAAGAGACTTTCAGGGTGGAAGCGTGATTCACTTAGTCTCATAGGAAGAAGGATTCTGACGTAGTCGGCCCTTGCGACGATTCCTATGTACACAATGCAAACTCTAGCCCTCCCGAAGGGCACATGTGACAGTATTGATAAGATTTGTAGGGATTTCTTGTGGGGGGATACCCAAGACAAGAAGAAG